GATCAAAATTGTGGTCAGGTTCGTTACGGTGAACAACTGATCCATTTAATGTGTTGTTTTGTAAAAGATCCTTTTCTGTTCATATCATCAGACTTCCAATAAAATAAAACAGACGTCAGTCAGATTAACTTTTTATCCTAGTACATTTTCTGGATTGGGAAAGAAATTCTTTTTAAATTTTTAACATTTCCAAACACAAAAAATGGGAATGTTAATATCAACTTTTTCCCTACAAGGAAACATTTGGTATTTATTAATTGAGCAGCCAGTACTGCTTTCGGTTGAAATTCATAAAATCTTTCTCTTAAAAGAATTTTTCAGGAAAATAGGTTTCTCAGGTCCAGTAGCTATTATCGCTCTTTCCAGTATTGATAGTGGGGTACCTTTCTAACCTTTTGTTTGAAATAGTGTGGAATGTCAAGATCTTGATTATGTCATCATTTTCTCTTCGAATTACATGTGCTATGCATTTGAGTTGTTGCCGCTGTTGGTAGTTGGTAGTGATGTGGTTTCTGTTATTTGGTACAGTTCTTTATGATTCTGTAGCGCCAGTTTACAATGTTCAAAGAAGGCTTCACTCACTGGAAGTCCTTTTTCAAAAGGCATATCTTTTGAAGGTTTTTTATTATTATTTAAAGGCGAAAAGGGGGACATAATTTTTTTCTTTGATACCTGATATTGTAGCATTGAAAAGATATCCATGAAAAATAATATCAATATCGGTAATTGGAGTAGTAAGCTAGTCTTGATATAGATGTTATTCTAGACACAACGTTTCGACCAAGTAACGTCTGGTCATCATCAGGTGTCCATTGACTGATATTGGATATCTGTTGATCTATTATTTATTTATTAGTTATTGTTCATTACTGCTGAATTGGTGCGTCACTAGCTGATCCAAGGATTGAACTTATGGCCACTAGATGACAGTAACACATGTATAACCAACTCCTATATCTACTATTCCACCAAGGGACATTAGTGGTGTGTTTTTAGAGTCTTTTTATATTCATTGTCAGATGGTTTTGATATTTGGTTATGATGGTGAGTTCGAACCACATTTTATAATTTAGTTTTTTCATTTCTGAGATGAGTAATTGTCAATATTCTTGTATTATTTAAAACTCCCGTTATCATCTTGCTTGATAGTGATGTTATTATCGACACAACGTTTCGACCAAGTACCCTCTGGACATCATCAGGAGTTCATTGATTGGCTGATATTGGCTATCTGTTGATTTATCCTTCAACTCTTGGTTGATATTTGATGTTGTTATAGAATACTAGAATCTTGAAAATTACTCATCTAAAAAATGAAATACTAAAACATGATTCTATTGAAGAAATAGAATAATAGACACTATAATCCAATATTATAATATTCAAGTGGAATAGGTTAGAACTTATCGCCATTTTTTCGGCGAATTCGACTGATTCTGCTGTCGTCTGAAAATGGAATCTTGTTTTAAGGTCGAACTTTAAAGGCAGTTATTAACTGATAAAACAAACAAAAAAACTCTGAATAAAAACAATATCTCGGTCACGTAACACAGAAAAGTAAACAAATGACTCAGTTTCTGTCTATATTTATGAAATGTAATTATTTACATTATTCGGACTGTTGTCCTCATCTTTATTGCCAGATTCACGATGTTTCGGCCGTTGTAGACTCCGGCCTTCGTCAGGTGACTGGAATTTCGAACTGAACCCTTTATTTCATCCATCGGGGTAGACTGTTCTAGTTCCACGTCTCATTTATTTCCCTTTAACTCAACTCTTCAAGTTTTTGTTTACCACTGCAGTAGGCAGGTATTGAATTCACTAGATCCAACCAACGCTTTTATTCACTGGGCCATATGTGGATTAAAGCGTTGGTCGGATCCAGTGACTTGAACCAAAGAATTGTGAGTTCAATACCTGGTTACTTCAGTGGTGAACAAAAACTTAGAGAGTCGAGTTAAAGGGAGATAACTGAGACATCTAGAAGAGGATAACAGTCCGAACAATGTAAATGTAAATAAATGCCTCAATTATTCTTGCTTTAGTATTTATTTATTAATCATTTACAGCCGGAGAAGTCCCCCTCGCAGAAACGGTGTGGGTAATCTAAGTGGGTACAACCTGTATAACGTCTCCCGAGTTTTTTTTTAAAGGATTTGACTGATGCTTGAGAAATAAATTTACTTTTACTTTTACAGTCACACGCCATGAAATACCGAAGAAAATGAATATAGCATAATACAGTTTTATTTTAATTTTTAGCAGCTGATCTAAAAAAATGCATAAAAAATGATTTGTTAATTATAATGCTCATGAAAACGAAACTATTCTTAGTCTAATCGTCTTAGAGAAAGTTTTTTTGTCTTCTCTCAGCATAGCTGATGCTACCCTCCAAGAGACTAACATATTACGCCTTGTTGGGCTAACGTCTCCCACTAGCGAAATAGAATGATTATATTGAATCACTTGCTAGGTCTGCTGTTAGGAAAGTTGGTTGTGACGTTTTATTCTTGCCAGAATCTATCTTACACCTTTATAAGTCTACCATTGGTCCATGCATTGAATATTGCTATCACATTTGATCTGGTGTTTCTGATATCTATTTAAAGATTCTTGATAAAATCCAAAGAAGAATATACACTGTTATTGGTCCTGAAGTGGCATCTCGGCTTCAGTCACTTTCTTACTTTCGTAACATAGTTTACCTCTATCTTTTCTATAAATCCTTCCAAATTAATTGTTCTGATGAGTTTCCCTCTTTGTTACCCCGACTTCACGAATTTAAACACAGTACTAGATTGGCAGCTAGGTCTCATCATTGTACAGTTGAAGTTGCTAGACCTAACCATATCTTTTATACTAAAATTTTCTTCTCTTGTATGTCTCACCTGTGGACTTCTCTTTCGACTTTTGCTTTCCTGTAAACTATGATCTTCACAAATTTAAATGCAACGTCAATCGTCATCTTCAATCTCCTTTTTTTGTTCTTTCTTCTTGTCCTGTTACCCTAGTACAACCGAAACCCACCGGTACAGCACACGTTTATTGCTCAGTCATCATTTTGACCACATCTTTTTTAACCCCTCATAACGGAAACGGCAAATTGATTTTTCTATCTTCCTAATTCTTCCTCCGAACAATAGCATTGCCGTTTCATTGTTCTGCTTCTCGATACGTGTCCGTTTCACACGCGTATGTACCTCAGACAATCAGATAAACGCCTTTTTTTTTCATTCAATAAACCTATTGATGAATAGAACATTTGTTTATCAGACTGTCCGTGGTGTGTGCGCGACGGACGCGTATCGAGAGGCTCAATAACATTTTCTCACTTTCTTTTACTTTCAGTAACCTCTTAAGTCTTAGAGGCTTTATCGCCTTGTTTTGTGTGAAATGATTAAAAATAAGAAAAATATAATTGAAACTCTTTAATGTCCATGTTAATTTCTCGGGATTGATACGCAAGTAACACATATTTTGTGCTGTCTACCATGGATTCTGTCGTCTCTAAAGTTTTTTTCTTTTTACTTCGCTTAGTATGACTTCTCTAACTTTTGAAATCTTCCTTCCAATAGCTATGTTGCTCACGTGACCGGAACAGGAACTGCTATTGTACTATGTGATTTCTGACATTTGCACGATTATACCATGCGCTACGTATATACTAAATCTTTTTTAAGTATTATTTTTTTTAAAATTGATTTCATCCCAAGCAACGCAGTAAAGCCACTAAGGCACAAGGGGTTACTAGGTGTGGAAGAATTAAGAACAGAAAAATTAATGATAAGCGGGAAGATGAAAGAGTAATCAGGATGACAGTAGATAGCGATTGACATTGCGCTTAAATTTTTGCAGATTAAAGTTGGCTGCAAAACATTGGAACCCGGAAGGGAATTCCATAAGCGAGAAGTGTGGAAAAAGAAAGTTTTAGCATAGAACTTACAGCTACATTTAGCTCAACTGTAAATTGATGAGACCTCGTCGAAAGTTTAGGTGCCATAGAGCTCATCCGAACAATTGCCATGAACGTATCTATAGAAAAGGCATAGAGAAGCAACATTACGGCGGTGCGAAAGTGACTGATATTATTTGATTGTGTGTTAACTCAATATTTTTAAACTTTTTATTTATTATCTCACGGCACACTTGAACCTCTTCCGCGGCACATTTAAATTATGATGAAAAAAAGAGTGAAAAAAAGGAAAATACTTTTAATTATTTATTTCCTCTTTGCAGGGTAAATTTTGGACAGGCATACCCTTAAATCTTCTTCCAAAGATTTTAGCCGTTTTCGAATTTTGTTTTTAATATGATTTAATGCAGAAAAACTTGCTTCGTACATTTATTGTTCTTTTGAACTTCTTTCGAAATTTATTCAATTAATAACCCTCAAAAATTTCCGCGATCAACCTACACTTAAAACCTGCAAAAAGATGTTGCTAAAAATTAAGAAGAGACAGAGGGTTTTTTGTTTTTTTTTGGTGGGTGGACAGCTAATGGAGAATTTAGCACTAACGGGCTGCTTCGAAAGCAAGAGAATTAGAGGAAGAAGTAAGTAACCTACTTGATAAGTTTCAGCAAATGAGTGGAGGAATAAATTCTACAAAGACAAAAACGGCTAGAAATGGTGTAAGTATTGCTGAGAATAAAGGAAGGCATGGAGAACCATCATTGCCCACGTCTTTAAAGGACATAAGATATAGACATACTGTGGTGTATTAGTCACTGTGTCAACACGCTGAAGCAGGCATCTACGAGATATTACATTAATTTGCAACTTATTTTTGCATGTTATTTAAAGGCAGAAAATATTTTATATAGTAAGAATTTTTTTGAGATAATAATCATTTATTGATACAAATCCTACTGATTAACCCATGCTTTGTGGGGAGAGGAGATTAATTGAAACCTTTCCGAAGAGTATTTGCACGTAAGTAAATATAACGAATTCGACATTCCAATACCGAGCCGTTATCCATTACACCATCGGCACATCCAAGCTTACAGCACCTGCTATTCCCAAGCGGTCACCCATTTAGATACTGCTCAGGCTCGACATTGCTTAAGTTCGGAGATCGTACGGTGTTTCAACGTGACGTGACTGCAGGTTTTGTGAATATGGAATTGGCCTGTAGGGACGTAAGCTGATAGAAGTTGAATGGTGAGAAACCTGGGAAATCGTTCGTGCGTTATCCGATGTTCGACGAAGGTGTAAGAATTACTCCTTCACCCAATTTATTTGTAGACCTGAAGAAAGTTGTCCGCACTTCTCCGGCAAGGCTTCCAAATTTTTCGATCCGAGTGACGTGATGTAAGCTAGCTACAATTCATCCCAGGCCTCAACAGGAATAAGGATTACATGAATTATGATTGTTCACCACTGGCCGAACCGTTCTTTCTCCAACACAATTGCAAGAAACAAACAAATCTGATTTAACTGCAATTGAAATATATTTTAATGTTGTCATACACCTGGCTTTGCCGTAAATCCTGCTAGTAGGACAATTATTAAAACCAGTATTTTTTTCAATCATTTCCATCCAAACTTGGCAATAAAGCCACTAAGACAAGACGCAAGCGGTTACTGAGTGTGAGAGAATATCAGAAAAAAACATTAAGGCGAAAGAACAATAAAAGAACAGGAATTAAGAAGACAACGATTGACATTGCATTTAAATTTTTGAAGATGAAACTTGTCTGGAAAGCAAAAAGCCGGAAGAGTTTTCAACAAGCGAGAAAAGAAATTGTTAATAGAATTTACGGTTACATCTAGGCTATTTCAACTGTAAAATGATGAGAACTTGATGCCACAATTAATTTTCAATAGGTTGCTTCTGGTTACAGGACAAGTTCTGTTTAGACAAAATAAGAGAAGGGCTACAAGTCTATTTCAGTTAGTTATATTTATCTCTACGATTCAGAAGCTGTTACCAACTGTCGTTTCATATAAGTCCAGATAGATTTCTTCTGTTATCGTTCGTTTATCAGATTATTTACAGATTAACTTCAATATTACTTTCTATATTACTGATTCACTCAGTGGCGAACTGGGTCTAATGATATTAGTTGCCAGGAGACATAGGGCGCACGACAAAAACTACAATGCTATCGTTTAATTTTTATAATGAATAAATAAAATTTTCACGAAATACATATAGAAAAAAGGGTACAATTAAAGGTTTTGCGGAAAAAATGTATATTTTTTAGTAATTACATATACTGAGCATCTTACTGATAGCAAATGTAAATACAGAATGTTAAAATTGAAATGTATATTTATTTTTTAATTTTAAGTGATTGATATTTTAAATAGTTTATGTTCACTCGATAATTGTTTGAATCTGCCAATAATTACGTCTGCATCCAATTCATCTAACAATTCCTTTACAATGGAATATACGTGTGTATGATTCCAAATTGTCCTCAGATGGTGAAGTTCTTAAACTTGTCTTTATGATCTTTAGCTTTTGAAAATATTCCCTTCTTACATTGGACTTGACTAACTGATAGTGAGCAGATGACTTTATAAAGATTTTATTCTTTGTTATTACTAAAACAATTGTCTGTGTTTGTTTCTTTATTGCATTTTTATTTGATTTCAGGAACCCAGTCGCCATCGGGCAAACTGACGCCCTGGCCAGTGTTGCGTGTAGTACTTTTCAGGCGAAGAATGGTGTTCTAAAGAATTAGGCTACAGTTCTTTCCTTCGAACAAAATTGTTTCTTATTGCTTTTACCCACCTTTTTGGTTTTAAACAAGAGTTTTTTTTTCTTCACAGCGAATTATTGTGGAAGTCGATTCGCTACCGAAAACAAATATTTAATTCGTATCGTCTTGATTACTTCGTTTTAAGAAATCTATATTTCAGAAGTTTGGAAAATGAAATATTGCGATATTTAGTGTCTTCTTATTGGCGAGTTTGGCTGTAATTGTTTAAGATGCATTAATTTCACAAGTCGATGGCTTGGTATTTTCAGCTGGTCTGCATCGGACTGAAAATATCGGTGTCCGGCTGCAACAATAAGAGAACAAGAATTAAGAAGACAGAAGATAACAATGTCAGTAGTTATATTCTGTCGTCTTAATTCGTGTTTTTTTATTTATTGTTCTCTCTCCTTAATAGTATATTTTTCTCATATTCTTTAACACTCAATAACCCCTTGTGTCTTAGTGGCTTTGACACGTAAGGCTATCTCGATATTTAAATAAGAATGATCGCATCATTCAAGTATCATATTTCACGTTGATCCCTAAAATCGAATATTCTTTTCTTTTATTGTGACTCGATTTATTTTGAGTGCTTTCTGATTTAGATTTAAATGAATCATTAATTCTCAATTTCTCTAAGAAATATTGCCCAAAGTCCTGGATTTTATTTGGAATGGTTACCGGTATGAAAACGCGTTAATGCCCTTGGAAAATACATGAGATTATCTTCCTCCAGCTATTGACTAAATAGAAAGGTAGACGAAGCTGTTTTGGCAATCAATCTAAAAGGAAAACTCTGAATTCAAAATCAGCCTGAAGAGGGATGAGTTCAGTTAGGTTATCTTGCCCAAATACATAACACTGCTGCTGCTACGACTGAAGTATATATGATGTCCTTACGATCCCAATTAGTCACGGGTCTCATGACGTGACGATTTGGAATGTCATATCGTTTATCAAATATCTGGTCTAACACTTCATCTGGCTCGTGTCTGTCAACTCATTGAGTTTAGTGAGGAAGGAGAGGAGTGACCAGATGGTGTGAATGTCTAAATATTACTCGGGTTTTAATGAGTTTTTCTTTAGTTATTTCTTAGTTAAATCCAACAGTTCTCAAACGCTAATGTCCTTTACTGAATAAAAATAATTTTCTAACTTGATTTTTACCCTTTATCGTTTCTCTAGATGAATTTAATAAAATTAGCTTCCTTCAAAAGCCGTCCTCTATTTCTACAATGTGAAAACTTTCTATAATGTGAAAAACAGATTTTCTTGATATTTCAAAATTACTTGCTTGATCTCAAAAGATTAGGATTCACGATATTTACACAGATTAGCTTGGCACAGCATGAGGTCTCATGGAAGATTATGTTCCGGCGATCTTCCAAGGGAGAGCTTGCTACTTACAAAGTCAGAATTCAAAATCCTGACCTTTGGCCGAATGTTTCGATTTGAGTTAAAAGCCAGGATTTCGAATAATTATTTTCTTTTCTTGATAGCAGTCGCATCAGTAGTAGTTCTAACACTTGCCACTGATGCTACTGAGCAGTTCTTATTAAAATCTGGTAAGCTATCATCGACAGTTAAACGAAAAAAAATTCTTTAAATCTTTGTTCACTTTGATTATCATGGGTCGGAAGCCATGATTGTTAAACCACTTATGTAACATTTTAGGTTAAAAATGTAACGGTTATCGGTGCATAAAGTGGAATCGGTGAGACGAGTTCAAATTCCGGCCTATTTTACTGCATTCCCTTTCGCACTAATGTCTTTGGGAAATGTATGAAGCCATCTTTCTTCCGTCAGTTAAGGTTAAATGGCAGTCTGGGATGGTAGCTAGTCGAGCAGAAATAAAACCTCTGAATTCAAAAGCCATGGACAAAGACACGGGAAATGACTCTATATTTCCCAGGAACTTATGACAATTCGTAAATAATAACGAAAAGGAATATGTGGAGAGCCATGCTCGCCTACGTGCTGAAGGGTCATGGCATAAAAAATGACCCGTCCTGGGTATGACGATAAACTACATCCGGCAGCAAGGACTCTGGTCGGGTGGTTTTGAAGAGCATAGAACCACCTCGTAATTGCTGTTGTTCCCAGATCCACTCTGATTCGGAGTGGTAGCACCTGTCAGGGTCTCAGTTATGGGCAAATAGTTGACCCTCAAATTGGTGTCAAAACCACTGTGAAAATATAAAAATAGATTTTTATAGTAAAATTAGCAGCTATATTTCATAAACGACATCTATTGGATGCTTTGGTAGACATCATCAGTGATGTCTCTAGCCGATGTTACGAGTTTCGGATCTTTCAACATCATACCCAGCCGGCATTTTCATTATATATATTGTTCGAACTGTTTTCCTCATCTTTATTGCCATATTTCGGCCTTCTTCCTTCGGCCTTGAAATTTCGAAATGAATTCTTTATTCCCACTGTTCTAGTTCCACGTGCCATGCCTCTTCCGGATGTCTCAGTTATCTCCCTTTAACTCAAATCTCCAAGTTTTTGTTCATCACTACAGTAGCCAGGTATTGAACTCACAACTCTTTGGGTCAAGTCACTGGATCCGACCAACGCTTTTATCCACTGGGCCATGTATGAAGTTTTGGGATTTATAAACTTAATGTCTCAGTAACTATTTTTTAAAACCAGAGCTCATATTGCAATTTTTTATTATTGCTTTTCTCTAGCACTCCATATTACCGGTTCCCACATTGTATTCATTTCTATGCTTGGCCGGCTTAGATTTTTGTGGCCTAGCATATGTGCTGAGTCCTTAAGTTTTCGTATTTTCCAGTGATGTTCTCTGCCTATTATTTCAACCTCATCCCACGGGGGGGGGATCTCCCTTTCCCTTTCATATGTGGTCATCTACGCCTGATTTTTCTATTTCCCCTCGTGTTACGCCTTTACGATGTTCTTGCATTAAGGAGGCGGCCTGTTTCTTCTTTATATTTCTTACCACAGCTGCACGGGATGGCGTATACGCTGTCCTTAGTCATGTTCTCCTCTATGGGGCGGGTTACTGGGAAGAGGTGTCTTCGAAGTGTCGAACTACTTTTGAAGGTTGTTCTGATGTTATATAAGACCACGGATCTTTTGTATTTTCTCCGATAATCCCTTCACGTATTTCAGGTAGACCGAAGCTGTTTTCTGAGTGGTTTTATCTTGTACCTTTCTATCCCAGTTTACTGCCGTATAACAGGGTAGTTGTTACGTTGTAGGGTACTGCTTATTCTGATCATTTGTTGATTAGATTTCTCTGGGTCGCCACTTATGACTTTTGTTCGATGTTGTAAGCAACGGACGATAAAGACGAGGACAACAGTCCGAACAATGTAAATAATACATTTGACTCTCGACAAAAACCCTCT